AACCCAACAATAGTGATGTTTACAACTATAGCAGGACTGACAGGGGTGGTCATCACCCTCGCCCTCATCCTCATCATCACTTCCTCCATGGAGGTCATCAGAAGGTCATATTTCGAGGTGTTCTGGTTCACCCATCACCTGTTCATCCTCTTTTTCATTGGTTTGGTGCTTCATGGAGTCGGGTGAGGGTTTAGATCAATTAATATTCAAAAAAATGTTTTAATTAAAAATCTAAACTAAAACTGTGTTTAATTGAAATGTACTTATTTTGAATAAACAAATGCATTAATACATCTAAATAATTTCTTCTATACATTCATTCAGCAAGGATGCATTAAATTGATCAAATATGACAGTAAAGACGAGTTGGATCTAACACAGTTCCTTTGAACTTTTTATTCGTCAAAGAATCCTGAAAAAATGTATCGCAGATGTTTCCACAAGAACATTAAGCAGCATAACTGTTTTCAACATTGATGATAGGAAATGTTTCTTGAGCATCAAATTAGCATATTAAGTGATTTCTGAAGGATCATGTGAAACCAAACTTTTGAACAGTAGTGTACATACGTTATCAACTTGATACACGTTTGTTAACCTATAGCTATAGCCTAGCCAGCATGCAAACTGCATCTGAATTAAAAAATAGTAATATGTAAAATGTGATTTAATCACTGAATCCGCCAGATTTTGGAATGTTTTTGACAGGTGTCACTCACAGAGATTAGATGCTATGCTTTTTCCTTGTGCTGTTTGTACTGTATAAAGTTGGGCATTTCTCAACTTTTTGGCGCTCTCCACTTGCACAACTCCACTGTCAGTTCCACAATCCCTCTTGCGCGCCTTCTCCTCAATGCTAAGCAGGGATGATTTGAAAACACCCACTCATTTCTGCTCATTCATGCCAGTGAACACATAGATAGACGTACAGTTTTAAGCTATTAAAAGGCTGGTTTTCAAGCAGCCTTTATTGAAGCATCATGACATATCTGTCATAATACAAGTTGACAGACACATCATGCTAGCAAGAGAATTATCATGCATTATTTATGCAATAACAGTGTGTGTGTTTCTGTGTAGGCGTATTGTGCGAGGCCAGACTCTAGAAAGTGTAAAAGTGCACAACCCAGATGAATGTCACAGCCAGTTCGAGACGTGGGGTAAAAATGGCACCAACTGCCCAGAACCTGTCTTTGCTGGGAATCCCCCGATGGTATATCCTAATATAATCACAAATACATCTAGCATTTCTTTAATCATTTTGATGCATCTCAAAAACATGTACTTTCTCTTACAGACATGGAAGTGGGTGGTTGGCCCCATGATTCTATATGTATGTGAGAGACTGGTGCGCTTCTATCGCTCACAGCAGAAAGTGGTTATCACCAAGGTTAGTCAGTCAAAATTTGATTAGCAACCAATAGATTTCTTCCTCTCTTACTGTATTACGTCACTTTACAGGTAGTGATGCACCCATCCAAGACCCTTGAGCTGCAGATGAAGAAGAAGGGCTTTAAGATGGAGGTCGGTCAGTATGTTTTCATCCAGTGCCCGTCCATCTCTCAGCTAGAGTGGCATCCCTTTACCTTGACCTCTGCCCCGGAGGAAGACCACTTAAGCGTGCATATCCGAATTGTTGGAGATTGGACACAAGCCCTTTATACGGCCTGTGGAGGTGACAAAACCGTGGTGATGGATGCTTGGACACTACCAAAGTAAGATTAAAGTGACAGATGAGTCATTTAAAGGAATAGTTCATCCAAAAATGAACATTCTGTTAGCATTTACTCACCTTCATGTTGTTCCAAACCTGTATGAATTTCAATGTTGTTTTGGACACCTTTGACTTTCATTGTATGGACAAGAATTTTCTTTAAAACATCATCTTCAGAAGAATTAATGATGATAAAAAGAACTATTTTTTAATGTCAGGTTCGTTTCTTGAATAACACAGATGTAGTGCTTTTAATAGTACTTGCGAATCTCACTTGTAAAATGGGAAAATACATGTGTAAAAAAGGGATGTGAGTGTACAATCATAGTTGAGAAAAAGAGAAGTATGGAGAGACCGGGTTTCTGTTTGAGAAGATGGTAGGCAATGTGTTGATTTCAACATGAGTGAATTTTTCTTGCTATTTCTCCTTATGTGTTTCCTAATTTCTTCCTCCTGCAGTAGAGAACTGAAAGAATACAAATACTAACATGATAAGTGAACAACACAATGCTCAGTTATTCCTTTGGAACGTCCTGCAAAGGATGTACAGTTTGCTAGTTTGCTGTGCATAATGTCTGTTTTTCTCGGTGTAGGGTGGCTGTGGATGGGCCGTTTGGGACGGCCAGTGAGGATGTCTTTCGTTATGAAGTTGTGATGCTGGTCGGTGCTGGTATTGGTGTGACACCTTTCGCTTCTGTTCTGAAGTCTGTGTGGTACAAACACGTCCAGGAGAACAAAAATGTCTTCACCAAAAAGGTGATAAACTGCACTAGGTTTAGTCAGTTGTCTTTGTTGTCTTAGTCTAAGTTGTCTTTGCAGATGCCATGTTTATTTTGTAGTCTTATTCATTAAAGCTCATAAATGTCAGCTTTAGGGTCATAGCTTTTAAGGCAAAACACTACAGGTGAATATGGTAAAAATTGTTAGTAGTATATATCACCATACTTCTACAGTGGAATATTCGCAGTACATTAATTCAATTCTTATGTAATACAAGTTTTTGGAATTGATTTGCAATCGAGGCATTATCTAATTAAAAATGCACTAATTTGCTTACATTTCCAGAACAGAAGTGTGAACACTTTACATTTTGTTGACATCTTGGAGTTAAAGGTTTTTTACACTGGAGATTTTGAATATAATTTTTCATCACACTGTGAATTTATAAAAGCGAAGTTGAAGTGGAGATTTCAGTGGGCAGCCATTTTTGCTGCGGCGCCCGGGGAGCAGTTGGGGGTTCGGTGCCTTGCTCAAGGGCACATCAGTCGTGGTATTGAAGGCGGGAGAGAGTGCTGTACATCCACTCCCCCCACCTACAATCCCTGCCGGTACGAGACTCGAACCCGCAACCTTTGGGTTACGAGCCTGACTCTCTTGACCATTAGGCCACGACTTCCCCCCTTTTTATAGCTCAGTGCATGAGAAAAGTCATTTAGAGGAAACAACCATTAAAGATATGTATTTTAATTCAACTCTATAGATGCAAATAGATAAAGTGTAATAAAATAAACACTTAAATGTGTAATGTTTTCTTTCCACTAGTTTGAAAGAAGTCAAGTTATGGAAGCAAAATAGCCTAAAATCTCAAAATTGACGAGAACCTAAAAAAACTGTGGTTTTGTCTGTAGTGTCTTGCCTTAAAGAATTAATTCATATTTTAGCTAAATATGTAATGTTCTGAACCTTGACCTCTGCAGATCTATTTCTATTGGCTGTGTCCGGAGACGCAGGCTTTCGAATGGTTTGCAGACCTGCTGCAGAGTTTGGAAAGACAGATGATGGAGAAAGACATGAGCGATTTCCTCAGTTACAACATTTATCTAACGCGCTGGAAGGATGCTGAGGTGGGCGAAAAGACTTGCTTGTTTAATGACACTGTGAACTATTTTAACTTCCCTAAAATACAAAAAAATACTTTGGCACTCATTTTGATTACTGTTTAAAGGCGGCCCATTTTAGAGTTCAATATGAGGCGGAAGATGATCCCATTACTGGGCTTAAGCAGAAGACTCTGTACGGTAAACCCAACTGGGACAATGAGTTCAGTGCCATTGCTACTCAACACCCAGGGTACGTAGAGTGTGGTAAATAACAGCAGTGTTAAGGCTTTCTACACTTGCTGTGCATTAATAACTAGTATTTTTTCGTCTTCTTTCTTTCAGTTCAAAAGTAGGCGTTTTTCTATGTGGTCCTATGGCTTTGGCCACAGCTCTGGGAAAGCAGTGCTTTTCACACACTGAATCTGGAACTGAGTTTATATTCAACAAAGAAAACTTCTGATGTGCTTCAAAGTGTGTCAACTCATATGTATCAGAACTTGTTTTCTAATAAAAAATACTGAAAAATCCTTAAACCACTGCATAAGATATTCAGACTTGTTTTCAAATATTGTATCTTGAGTAGAAGTAGATTTTGTCTCACTGCACTGGCAGATTTTTTGAAGTTTTTATTTACTATACTAATGAAATTCTTGTTAAGAATAGTATTTTTTGCAGTGTAAGCTTGTTATTATGATGTTGTGTTATTGGTCTAGATATATCATGGCTGTGCACGATGCAGAATTTATTTTTATGTACTATAAAGATCAATGTGTTATTTTACTGTTTTGGTGTAAACCAATCCTGCTTCTTCTTTCTTAAGTGCACGTTCAGTAAACCTTATGAAATCTTTAAGTTAAGCAATATGGCGGGGAACCAAAGATCAATTCCTGATTAATTGAAATAATGTTACAATAAAAGGCGCACCACTATAAAACAAAGTCAAATACTGAATTGAATAAAGTGTTATAGTGGGCTCCCTTTGAAATTATTTAACGTTGTACAGCAATTCTATGTGGGATGTATAGATGGACTTCAATTTCGTTTAGTTGATATTTAGGTTTAGTTTCAGTTCCCCAAAAAAAAGTTCAACATGTATTATGCCATGAAGTGACATCCTTGCATTGTTTGTAATTCCCCCTCATATTTTGTATGTGGTTCAGAGTTTAAATATATTTTCAGATATGGAAAATGCCTCAGAAGTCTGAAGACTAAAAAAACATAATCAAACAACATGTTGGATTGTTAAACCTAAATCAGACAACTTTAATAATTAAGCATCAACATATTTGCATTTCATCCTATACAGAGCAAAGGTGTACGTTACCTTTGAAAGTCCCCCAAAAAATAAATTAAAATAAAATACTAATAAACACAATGTAGTAGACAAGCATTAGCAATACGCTCTAAATTTTGTAGAATAGGCAAAACATGACACAAGTTGAACATGGTTTAAGTCTTAGCCAGACATGAGGATGTGATGGTCAGAGCGAAGGTGGTTTTGCCCTTCTGTGTCTGTGTGTATGTGCATGTCTCAGCCCTGATTCCTGCTCATAGTGCAATAGCCACTGCAAACACACTGACGACACAGTACATGGTGCGGTTCTCCCACCTGACTGTGCAGCTTCCTGCAAAAACACACACACACACACACATATGTGACCCTGGACCACAAAACCAGTCATAAGGGTCAATTTTTCGAAATCTGAAAAGCTGAATAAATAAGCTTTCCATTGATGTATGGTTTGTTAGGATGGGACAAGTTGTTATTTGGTTGAGATACAACTATTTGAAAATCTGGAATCTGAGGGTGCCAAAAAATCTAAATATTGAGAAAATCGCCTTTAAAGTTGTCCAAATTAAGTTCTTAGCAATGCATATTACTAATCAAAAATTAAGTTTTAATATATTTACAGTAGGAAATTTACAAAATATCTTAATAGAACATGATCTTTACTTAATATCCTAATGATTTTTGGCATAAAAGAAAAATAAACTACTTTGTTTGGCCTTCCAAAAGAGGACACGACTAGAAATCAGTGGTTAAGTTGTATTTACAACACTGTACCAGAACACTTCAACCCAAATATTCAGATGTGTGCAGCACATTTTATGGAGGACCGTTGCTGGCCAATCACAGCACACCTTGCTTTTTCAGACCGATGAGCTTTGTAAAAATCGACGCGTTTCAGAAAGGCGGGGCATAGAGGAGAAACAATAATGTACAGTATGTGGAAAATAATGTTTTTTGAACCTTAAACCGCATAAACACATTTCATTACACCAAATACACAAAATAATGTTCTTTTTAGCAGCATCATATGATCCCTTTAATAGAACTAGCAAGTCTCACTTGTAAAATGGGAAAATACATGTGTAAAAAGAGGATGTGGGCACAATCACAGTTGAGAAAAAAGAGAAGTGTTGGGAGAGCAGGTTTCTGTTTGAGAAGATGGAAGGCAATGTTGATTTCAACATAAGTGAATTTTTCTTGCTATTTCTCTTTATGTGTTTCCTAATTTCTTCCTCCTACAGTAGAGAACTAAAAGAATACAAACACTAACAACACAATGCTCAGTTATTAGCACAATTTGATAGTTTGCCGTCCATAATGTCTGTTTTTGTCTGTGTAGGGTGGCTGTGGATGGGCCGTTTGGGACGGCCAGTGAGGATGTCTTTCGTTATGAAGTTGTGATGCTTGTGGGTGCCGGTATTGGTGTGACACCTTTCGCTTCCGTTCTAAAGTCTGTGTGGTACAAACACGTCCAGGAGAACAAAAACGTCTTCACCAAAAAGGTGATAAACAGCACCAAGTTTAGCGATTCAGGCTTTGAATGACAGAACAAAATCTTTGTTTATTTTGTAGTCTTATTCATTAAAACTCATAAATGTCAGTTTTTTTAAGGCAAAGCACTACAGGCGAATATGAACAAATTTAAGTAGTAGATATCATCATACTTCTACAGTTGATTAATTGCAGTGCATTAATACAGTTGTTATGTATTACAAGTTTTCAGAATTGATTTGCAGTTGAGGCATCATCTAATTAAATATGCACTAATTTGCTTACATTTCCAGAACAGAAGTGTGAACACTGGAATTTTTTTGTTTTATTTTGTTGACATTAGAGTTACAGGTTTTTACACAGGGGATTTTGAACATCCCTTTTCATTACTCTGAATAAGTTGAAGTTGAAGTGGAGATTTATAGCTCAGAGCATGAATAAAAACTAATTTAAAGGAAACAACCATTAAAAATATGTATTGTAATTCAACTCTACAAATGCATGTAGATAAAGTGTAATAAAATAAACACTTAAATGTGTAATGTTTTCTTTCCACTAGTTTGAAAGAAGTCAAGTTATGGAAGCAAAATAGCCTAAAATCTCAAAATTGACGAGAACCTAAAAAAACTGTGGTTTTGTCTGTAGTGTCTTGCCTTAAAGAATTAATTCATATTTTAGCTAAATATGTAATGTTCTGAACCTTGACCTCTGCAGATCTATTTCTATTGGCTGTGTCCGGAGACGCAGGCTTTCGAATGGTTTGCAGACCTGCTGCAGAGTTTGGAAAGACAGATGATGGAGAAAGACATGAGCGATTTCCTCAGTTACAACATTTATCTAACGCGCTGGAAGGATGCTGAGGTGGGCGAAAAGACTTGCTTGTTTAATGACACTGTGAACTATTTTAACTTCCCTAAAATACAAAAAAATACTTTGGCACTCATTTTGATTACTGTTTAAAGGCGGCCCATTTTAGAGTTCAATATGAGGCGGAAGATGATCCCATTACTGGGCTTAAGCAGAAGACTCTGTACGGTAAACCCAACTGGGACAATGAGTTCAGTGCCATTGCTACTCAACACCCAGGGTACGTAGAGTGTGGTAAATAACAGCAGTGTTAAGGCTTTCTACACTTGCTGTGCATTAATAACTAGTATTTTTTCGTCTTCTTTCTTTCAGTTCAAAAGTAGGCGTTTTTCTATGTGGTCCTATGGCTTTGGCCACAGCTCTGGGAAAGCAGTGCTTTTCACACACTGAATCTGGAACTGAGTTTATATTCAACAAAGAAAACTTCTGATGTGCTTCAAAGTGTGTCAACTCATATGTATCAGAACTTGTTTTCTAATAAAAAATACTGAAAAATCCTTAAACCACTGCATAAGATATTCAGACTTGTTTTCAAATATTGTATCTTGAGTAGAAGTAGATTTTGTCTCACTGCACTGGCAGATTTTTTGAAGTTTTTATTTACTATACTAATGAAATTCTTGTTAAGAATAGTATTTTTTGCAGTGTAAGCTTGTTATTATGATGTTGTGTTATTGGTCTAGATATATCATGGCTGTGCACGATGCAGAATTTATTTTTATGTACTATAAAGATCAATGTGTTATTTTACTGTTTTGGTGTAAACCAATCCTGCTTCTTCTTTCTTAAGTGCACGTTCAGTAAACCTTATGAAATCTTTAAGTTAAGCAATATGGCGGGGAACCAAAGATCAATTCCTGATTAATTGAAATAATGTTACAATAAAAGGCGCACCACTATAAAACAAAGTCAAATACTGAATTGAATAAAGTGTTATAGTGGGCTCCCTTTGAAATTATTTAACGTTGTACAGCAATTCTATGTGGGATGTATAGATGGACTTCAATTTCGTTTAGTTGATATTTAGGTTTAGTTTCAGTTCCCCAAAAAAAAGTTCAACATGTATTATGCCATGAAGTGACATCCTTGCATTGTTTGTAATTCCCCCTCATATTTTGTATGTGGTTCAGAGTTTAAATATATTTTCAGATATGGAAAATGCCTCAGAAGTCTGAAGACTAAAAAAACATAATCAAACAACATGTTGGATTGTTAAACCTAAATCAGACAACTTTAATAATTAAGCATCAACATATTTGCATTTCATCCTATACAGAGCAAAGGTGTACGTTACCTTTGAAAGTCCCCCAAAAAATAAATTAAAATAAAATACTAATAAACACAATGTAGTAGACAAGCATTAGCAATACGCTCTAAATTTTGTAGAATAGGCAAAACATGACACAAGTTGAACATGGTTTAAGTCTTAGCCAGACATGAGGATGTGATGGTCAGAGCGAAGGTGGTTTTGCCCTTCTGTGTCTGTGTGTATGTGCATGTCTCAGCCCTGATTCCTGCTCATAGTGCAATAGCCACTGCAAACACACTGACGACACAGTACATGGTGCGGTTCTCCCACCTGACTGTGCAGCTTCCTGCAAAAACACACACACACACACACATATGTGACCCTGGACCACAAAACCAGTCATAAGGGTCAATTTTTCGAAATCTGAATGCTGTGTGTACATTAATGAGGAAAAAAAATTAACTTAAATGATTTTAGCAAATGGCTGCAATATAACAAAGAGTGAAAAATGTAAGGGGGTCTGAATACTTTCCGTACCCACTGTATATATATTATTTTTTTTGAATGCTTGTTTCTGCCATGGGATAAAAAAATTAAAAAGGTAATTGCGACTTTTTATTTCACAATTTGGACTTTTCCCCCCCACAATGCAGAGTTTATATCTCACAATTCTGACTTTTTTTTCTTAGAACTGCAATTCTTAAAAAAATTGAGAAAAAAAGGACTAAATTCTGTAATATAAACTCAGAACTGCGAGGAAAACAAGTCCAAATTGGAAGATTTGTAACTGTCACAATTACCATTTTTGTTTCCATAATTTTTTAATAAAACTACATGGAATATTTGAACTGTTAAAAATCAATTGCCACACAGTAGGTTCAAATGAAGTTCTTAGCTATGCATATTACTAATCAAAAATTAAGTTTTGATATATTTACAGTAGGAAATTTACAAAATATCTTAATAGAACATGATCTTTACTTAATATCCTAATGATTTTTGGCATAAAAGAAAAATCTATAATTTTGACCCATACAATGTATTTTTGGCTATTGCTACAAATATACCCCAGCGACTTAAGACTGGTTTTGTGGTCCAGGGTCACATATTAGAATTTTTTTTTTTGTAAATATATATAGTTTATTATAAAGATCTATTGTTTATTACAAATGCAATGAATATAATGCACAAGAACACATTTCAATGGCTGACATGAAATTTTAAGCAGTTTTAGTGGTGTCCTGCAGTATTCTATATATATATTTATATATATATAAACTGTAAAAAAAAAAAAAAAAACTGAATCAAAATGATAAAAAATTAAGCAAAATGTTTTAAAAATAAAAATGTAATAACATTTAATACAAATTTCAATAAAAATATTTGAATACTTACAAATTAAATGACATTTAAAAATAACTAATAGAAATAGAAAACAAATAGAAGCAACATAATGCATTTTCTACATAAAACTAATATGCAATGCATCTATTTAAACTTTATTTGTCAGACAAATATCAATTAAGTTAGAAGACCAATGTGGCTGAGCTAAAACTATGAAAACACAAAGCAGTTATATAGAACTAAAAGCTTTACCATCAGTGGTAGTGTCCCAGTAACAAGAGTTGGCTGTGTGAAGACCTGCGCCGCTTTTCTGCATCACAGCACAGTTGACTGAAATTGATACATAATATATAATCAACAACAGCACTTTGCATAATATCTTTCAGCCTTGTGCAAATATGATGTATACATTTTGTCTTATAAATACATTATCTGATGTTTAACCTATGAGATATTTGCATACAATAAGAACTCAAATGGAAAAGCTCATACCAATGTACTTGAACGGTTTCCCCTGTTTGACTAACTGAGTGAGAGTGTGTTCGACTATGCTGGCTGTCCACTGGTTGACTTTGTTCTGGCTGTAGTCCACGCCTCCAATAATACCCTCAATGCACTGACCGATAAACACAAACACACACACACACACAGAGAGTTAATGGAGCAGACTTGCACTCAAATAAATAGGCTAGCATTAGTCCTGCAGGCACGAGTTAGACATGAGACTAGCAACAAAGCAATTCATTCAGCGAGACACACCATAGACCTTATAGGGTTTTTTATGTTTTTATAAGCGTGTGCTTGGTTTTATAGTGAATATTACCTCCTTCACAACATTACTTGCTTCGTCTGGGCTGAAAGACACCTGAAATGAAAGTTTTTGAAAGATGAAAAGAAATGAACCAGCTGTCAGATGGGTTTAATAATGCATCAACACCCGCATCCATTAGATTTACTGATCAAAATGTACATTTTAGACATGCAAGTCAGCAAAAAAAATCTCTAAATACTTTTAAATAAATAAAAAAATGTTGATACTCAATTCAGTTTGCTTTATAATTCAAGTTTACGTAATGATTTGGCCACACCCTGAATCATTTTACATGAAAACGTACAACACAATAATGTAAAACATAAATCACAATGAACTTTAGTCATCTATATATGTGTAAAATATGTAAAGACGTGAATAACAAAGAGTGAAAAATGTAAGGGGGTCTGAATACTTTCCGTACCCACTGTATATATATTATTTTTTTTGAATGCTTGTTTCTGCCATGGGATAAAAAAATTAAAAAGGTAATTGCGACTTTTTATTTCACAATTTGGACTTTTCCCCCCCACAATGCAGAGTTTATATCTCACAATTCTGACTTTTTTTTCTTAGAACTGCAATTCTTAAAAAAATTGAGAAAAAAAGGACTAAATTCTGTAATATAAACTCAGAACTGCGAGGAAAACAAGTCCAAATTGGAAGATTTGTAACTGTCACAATTACCATTTTTGTTTCCATAATTTTTTAATAAAACTACATGGAATATTTGAACTGTTAAAAATCAATTGCCACACAGTAGAACTGTAAAAAAAAAAAAAAAAACTGAATCAAAATGATAAAAAATTAAGCAAAATGTTTTAAAAATAAAAATGTAATAACATTTAATACAAATTTCAATAAAAATATTTGAATACTTACAAATTAAATGACATTTAAAAATAACTAATAGAAATAGAAAACAAATAGAAGCAACATAATGCATTTTCTACATAAAACTAATATGCAATGCATCTATTTAAACTTTATTTGTCAGACAAATATCAATTAAGTTAGAAGACCAATGTGGCTGAGCTAAAACTATGAAAACACAAAGCAGTTATATAGAACTAAAAGCTTTACCATCAGTGGTAGTGTCCCAGTAACAAGAGTTGGCTGTGTGAAGACCTGCGCCGCTTTTCTGCATCACAGCACAGTTGACTGAAATTGATACATAATATATAATCAACAACAGCACTTTGCATAATATCTTTCAGCCTTGTGCAAATATGATGTATACATTTTGTCTTATAAATACATTATCTGATGTTTAACCTATGAGATATTTGCATACAATAAGAACTCAAATGGAAAAGCTCATACCAATGTACTTGAACGGTTTCCCCTGTTTGACTAACTGAGTGAGAGTGTGTTCGACTATGCTGGCTGTCCACTGGTTGACTTTGTTCTGGCTGTAGTCCACGCCTCCAATAATACCCTCAATGCACTGACCGATAAACACAAACACACACACACACACACACACAGAGAGAGAGAGAGTTAATGGAGCAGACTTGCACTCAAATAAATAGGCTAGCATTAGTCCTGCAGGCATGAGTTAGACATGAGACTAACAACAAAGCAATTCATTCAGCGAGACACACCATAGACCTTATAGGGTTTTTTTAATGTTTTTATAAGCGTGTGCTTGGTTTTATAGTGAATATTACCTCCTTCACAACATTACTTGCTTCGTCTGGGCTGAAAGACACCTGAAATGAAAGTTTTTGAAAGATGAAAAGAAATGAACCAGCTGTCAGATGGGTTTAATAATGCAACACCCGCATCCATTAGATTTACTGATCAAAATGTACATTTTAGACATGCAAGTCAGCAAAAAAAATCTCTAAATACTTTTAAATAAATAAAATGTTGATACTCAATTCAGTTTGCTTTATAATTCAAGTTTACGTAATGATTTGGCCACACCCTGAATCATTTTACATGAAAACGTACAACACAATAATGTAAAACATAAGTCACAATGAACTTTAGTCATCTATATATGTGTAAAATATGTAAAGACGTGAAAATATGTAGGTTTGTGGATGACGAAGTATTATGTTTCTGTCCTGATGAAGCAGTTAGCAAGCTAGCATTGAATGCCAGTCTACGGTTTAGTTTTGAAAAGAGTTAGACAGATAATAACCGGTTACACCATGTCATGCCTTATATAACACCTACTTCATCTCCAGAATGAAACTCCTCCATCTTTTTAGCTTGAAAACCAAAAATCTGGACAACAAACTCAGTTCAGATGACTAGCTCTTCTCTCACTGACAACTAAAGGCTGATGTTAGCAACAAAATGACAATTGAGTGCTGCCGCCTAGTGGCGCTCCTCCCAATCACCATCACTACAGATTTAAAGTTTGTGATCCGTTTCTTTTTCATTTAAACTACAAAAGTAATCTATCTACACAGATAGAATTGTATCTATCTATCTATCTGAAAGAAAAAAGAAAGAAAATGCAAATTTTGAGTTGTTTACTTGTATCATGTCAAATACAAGGGTTGTGAGATGATTCTTACAAAAATGCCATTGACAAAAAATTATCACTTTACCCCGAAACAATACAAGATTTTTAATATATAAAGTGCACAGGTGCTTATTCAAATTTAAATAAATAGATATAAAAACATACATACATATATAATTGTTTTTGTTTCTAGATATACAGCACATATTGGTAAATTTACTCCCAAGTAATGACTTTGAGAATGTATTTGATAAAAAAAGTTATACAAATTAGACACTGCAAACATACAGTACAAAGGGGAAACATTATACAATGTAGTACCAAAACAAAACCATTATGGCTCACAGCTATACTTAAATTAATCTCCCAAACTCAGTTTTGTTTAAGCTAAGTTATTTTCTGTGGTCTGCTTTGCAGCACAAGGCACAGTACCATTAACACCACCAACACCAACAGGATGATGCTTTGTTAAACTGCTGATTCTGCTAATTCCAGCAGTTTTTGTTATGGTCCCAAGTCAGAAGATAACTTCAACCCAGCTGAAAAGTGTCAAAGCAGATTGCAAGTGGCTGAACGTGATCGACTGGATGCTGTGGTCTGGCCTCCGATCTGCATTGCACTGCTAGAACTCTCTGAGATTTGAGGGGGGCCGTCAGCTGCTGGTTTGCCTGATGTGGACATCTCTGCCTGATTGCCTTTGGTGGAAGATCTCTTGAAAAGAAAAAGCTGAAAAAGCCAGGTAGGAAAGAGGTCAAACAATGGGCAACGTTAATATTAGCTGGCTGCTATGACGGTTGCTAGGGTGTTATGCACGGTTGTAGGTGCTTACTGGTGTTTATTATAAAGATTAAAAGGTTTGAGTGGTTAAATACCCTGTTCCTGGAGCCAGTAAGAGTCTTTGGCTTGTCTTCTGTAACTCCATTCATCTCTGACTGTGTTTCCTCTTTTATAAGGGTAGCAGGATCAGAATCTTCAGAATTTACAACAACAAAAAAGAGAAATATAGAAAAAGCTGCTTATAATCAATTTGCATTACATTTATATTCTTAGAAGATATATATAATATATAAAGGTCATTGCGTGTTTTATCGCACAATTTTCTCTTCTTCTTGCAACTTTGAATTATAAACTAGCAATCGTCACTTTTTGTCTCAGTTCACATTTAACAATTCTGACTTTTTTCTCAGAAATGTATCTAGAAAAAAACGAAGAATTTTGAGATTTCAACTTAGAATTCTGAGGGAAAAAAGTCTCAATTGTGAGAAAAAAAGTCACAATTACCTATTTTTTATATTTTTATTCCATGGAGAAAATAAAATTTCGTATATACTGTAGATGCCCTCAAAGCTAACAAACAGACTAAAAGCCACAAAACTCTGGTTTTCTTGGGGACTATGGGAATAGAAAAATAAAAGGATGCTGAAAAGCAAAAACACTAACCTTTCTTTGGTCCATCTGGAACAGATTCTTCTCTTATAATCTGCTTTTTCTGTAGGAGTAAGAAACTATCATCACAAACGAATCACATCAATACTGCAGTTGTTTACTGACGTGATGCTAAATCATTATGTTCATACTAAATTAGTCTAAATGGTATGAATGAAAGGCTTCAGGGCACCTGTACGTCTGACTCTGTAATGCTTTGCTCCTGCTTCTCCGTCTCTTTTCTCTTCTCATCTAGAATATCTTCCTTCTCATCACACTTTTCACCCTCTTCTTCCTCTGGATGCTCTTCCTCATCTTCTTCGTCTTCCTCCTCTTCTTCCTCATCATCTAAACATTCTTCCTCCTCATCATCTTCTCCTTCTACTTTTCCATTCATCTCATCTGTCCGGAGCTGGAGATGGATGGTGGCCATGCAAAAAGTAAAAAAATGACACAATCAGTGACTGTGAAACACGAAAAGAGGGCTAAATGCACTAGAATGGCAGGAGAGGGTTCGTGTGAGTTGAGTAGTCTTTGTAAAATTAAAACTAACTAACAAACTACATGTATAAACACACACAAGTAAGTAGGTACATGGACTAGGGATCTATTTAGGAGGAATAGCTCTACAGAGACAGTGTAAAATGAGGACAGCCTCACCTGTCCAATGAAGGATTTTCAGTACTGTGATTGCAACGGCTTTGCAAATTGGCGATATGTCATATGGCTTTCTTTATTTGCATATTTACAATTCAAATGAAAATTTGCTTTGTACATATATCATATTCTGAAATGTTCTGGTACTGCATGAAATTCTCAGGTACTGCACGATAGCTTTCACTAAACAGTCATGTAGTATGTATTTTTCTTCATTTAATGCATACAGAATTCTGTCTTTATAAAGTCCCTGGATAATCTGTGCTTATGAAAATAAAAAACAACACATAGGTATTAATTTAAAAATGGATGCAAATAGTTGAATTAAATGAAAAGTTTTATTGGTTATTATATGTAAAAAAAAAAAAACAGAACAAAACAAAAATGTTTAACTAAATGATATTTAATGACTAACTTTGGGCTCAATTTACCTGTATTTTTCCAATTATTTTCTTCCAGTCATAAAGATTATGAGCTGCCATTTTATTTTACATTTTAATGTGGTTAGGCATCTGACTTAACTGCATCTTTAAATTCTTAAAAATACAAAATTGGTAATAAATTTGCATTTTTAAGAATTTAAAGTCATTGATAGGGTTGATTCAAGGTCACTGGCAAATCAAGCACATTTGTTAGTAAACGAACATGGCTGTCCAAGGCACATGATGAGGTCTTCACTACTGCATGGGCGTACAAGTACTTATTAAAACATCATTTTGTAAAATAAAAAATAAAAAATGTGAAGCAATACATTAGGTAAGATTGCCATGAGTGAAATTGCAAGAATAATAATGGTGAAATAAAAAAAAGAAATGTAAAATAAACATCAAAAAAGGAAACAGCAAGAAAGAACATAAAAGGCAAGTATGAAACGGCAAGCTTATAATCTCAGGGAAGAGCAGAGAGATTTAGATTGAGGTACTGAGGTAGAACATCATCCCAAAACTGCTTAGACTCATGGGACTCATCATCTGACTGATCGTCTTGCGCTCGAGCCCGTTTGGCTTTTGACGGCTGTTTTGATGTTTTCACACTTGACTTTGGTTTGATGGATTCGGAGGCTTTTTCAAGTTTTCTTTTGGCCTTTTTTTCCTCCTCTTCTTGTTCCTCTTCCTCCTCTTTGCCCTCTTCCCCTTCTTCTTGATTGTCTTCCTCTTCCCCCTCCTCATCCTCTGCTTCTTCTGTCTCTTCTCTTTCTTCAGACTCTTCCTCTTCTTCATCTTCTTCCTCTTTGTCTTTACTGTCCTGTTCGTTTTCATTCTCTTCTTCTTCTTCATCATTCTCACTCATTGCTTCATCTTCGCCACTTTCACCTTCCTCCTCATCCTCTTTATCTCCCTCGCTCTCCTCTTTATCTTCCTCACTTTCCTCATTCTCCTCTTTATCTTCCTCACTTTCCTCATTCTCCTCTTTATCTTCCTCACTTTCCTCATTCTCTTCTTTATCTTCCTCACTTTCCTCATTCTCCTCTTTATCTTCCTCACTTTCCTCCTCCTCTGCTTCACTTTCACTCTCCTCTTCATCTTCATCATCTTCGGTCTCACTCTCCTGCTTTTCTGAATCTTCCTCCTCTTCTTTGCTAGTCTTTTCACCGTCTTCATCCTCCTCTGCCTCAGTGTCACCTTCCACTTCACTTTCTTCCTCCTCTGACTCCTCATCCTCTTCTTCTTCATCTGACTCTTCCTCTGATCTGTCACTTCTGCTCTCTATCTTTCCCTCTGATTCTTCTCCACTCTCCTCCTCTTCACTTGTTTTACTTTCATCCTCATCTTCTCCACTCTCCTCCTCTTCACTTGTTTTACTTTCATCCTCATTTTCTCCACTCTCTTCCTCACTTTTTCTACTTATCTCACTTGTTTCTTCTTCCTCATCTTCTATTCCATGACTTTCCGCTTCCTCAGCCTCACTCGCTACGTCCTCAGTTGCCTCACTTTTACTTTTCTCCTCCTCTTCTTCACTTTCCTCATCCTCACTAGAAGCTTTAATCGTTGTATCATCATCAACCTCATAATCATTTGCTAGGCTCTTGCTTTCACTTTCCTCTTCTTGGTCATCCACTTCCTCACTCTCATCCCTCCTGTTCACCAATCCCTCGCTTTCCCCCTCTTCCTCCTCATCTGATTCCTCTTCTCCTTCCTCCTCACTTCTTCTATATGTTCCCACCACAGAATGAACATCGGTTTTGGACTCAGAGCTGGTCCTTTCCAAGTTCCCATCTGAAGTTTCTGGTTCTGCCTTAACGTTGATGGTGACGGCTGTCCTCTTGGCCTCTCTTGTCTTCTCTTGTCCTGAAACCTCAAAAGATTCACTCAGGGACGAAACATCAGATAGAGTTATCTGTTTTGAAGGAGGTTTTGGCATCTTTTGGAGTGTGGACTGGGAAAGGAACTGACTGACTGCTGTTTCTCCAAGTAAACGAGCAGGACTTTCCATTCCCACATCTTGGAGAAAAGATGTCACCTTGGTGAGAGGATTTTCCTTCATTTGCTCAGATTCTGACACTGATTCTGATTTGAAGGCAGCTTCTGAGACAATGGTAGGGCCCTTTTTTGTGTCCTCTACTAGCAATTGGCTTTGTTCTGCTTTTGATTTCTTAGTCTTTTTTGTAGAAATGTCTTCTTGGCAAGAGGAAAGTGAAGTAGTGGAGACCTCTTGTGTTGTCTTTTTACTTTTTGAGTCTTTTTTTGAATCTGACCTTTTGCTCTGTGGGACAAAACTTTTTTTTTCTGTCTTAGCAGCATTCATTTCAGCTTTCAGCCTCTGAGCTTTTGGTAAAATCTCTTTTGAGATCCTCTTACCTGTTGGCTCTTGGTCCTTATGCATGGTCTGTTCAAGATATTGCTCAACAACAATTATGGGTTTCATTTTTACTTCTTTTTCTTTCCCCACAACCTTTTGAGACTGGCTACTGACTTCCAATGGACTATCTTTGGGTTTTGTTTTACCTTCTTGGTTTGGTTTTGATTTGGTACTTCCTTTTGATTTGTGAGCAACCTTCTTGCTTTCAGCCTCTACCTTTGAATGTTCCTTCTCAAGCATCTGTACTTTATTCCCAGCGTCTTTCCCTGTGACTCTATCCCTTGACTTTATCAGCTGTTTGTGTTTGGGCTGGAAGGATTTGGATCCAGCTCTGCTTATGTCCGTCCCCATTCTGATATTACTTCTAGCAGCTTGGTGATGTGCAGGCCTTCTGTCCTCCAAAGCAATAAGTACATTTTCCTTATCCTGACCATGTCTCTTAGGGCTCTTGTGGGGGGTCCCTGACCCAAGACTGTCCCCGACTACTAAGCTACCACTTGAGCTTCTAAGTAACTCAGTCGGAAGAGCTTTGCGAGCTAAAAGCTCTGCCCTCTTTCTATAAAGGGCAGGGTCATCTCTTGGCTTCCCCTTCTCCTTACCGTGCTCTTTCACAACCTTAACTTTCTTCTATCCCAGGAAGCAGAGGATAAAAAGAGGGAAAGTGTTAGAGAAACGAATGACCATGCAGAGCAGGCTGAATGAGAGCAGAATGAGCTTTAAAGCTGCAAAGCAAATGAGAAGAATGAGTCAATGAAGCAAAAAGAGAGAAAACGTAAGCAGAGATCTAAAAGAGTGCAGCCCATGAAATAAAACATTTTTTTTTTTGCTCCTCAACCTCTGTTTGACCATCTAAATTTCTTGAACAACAACCCAGGTGAGCTCTTACCTTCTCCATAGGAGACAATGTGAGGGTCTTATCGCTAGGGTCCATCTTCATTATGTGAGTCTGAAATCAAAGAAAGTTTTGCTTTAGACTTGAAAGCTTTATGTCTTTTATATCAGTGGTTCTAAACGTTTTTTTTTTTCTACACAACCCAGATTTTACATCAAATGGCAACCCAAAACCCAAACTAAATGAAATCTTTATGTAATGTAGTCTGCATCATTTACTTCTTCCTTTTAAAAATTTATTGTTTTTCTATCCTAATTATTCATGATTACACACTTAGTTGAATTTGCATTTAGCATTGCTTTCCCCCTTTTTTTCCCATGACCCTGTCAAAATGGACTTCCGGTTGTGAACACTGTGTTACTGTGCCACACTTTTTTATCTTATGTTTAAAACTGGCCGTGATTTCTCATTAAAAAATGACAATAAACCAAATCATGAAATGTCTAACTCTACGTATTTTCTATATATATATATATATTATAAAAGCATGCGTGCCTCTTTAATAAGTGATGGTATGCTTCTCCTACCAGGTTTAATAAGTCAGTGGTTTCTCCGAGGTCTTTTAAACTCTCGCTATCCTTCACACTGCTTCGGTCATCGAGAGACTTCTCTCTCCTTCCAGGAACTAATTGAGAGAGAAGACATAAAAACCTGAGCAAGATTCAGCAGTATACACTACTATTCAAACGTTTAGGGTCAGTAGTTTTTTTTAATTGTTGTTGAATGTAGTCTGCATTTCTTTAATTAAATGTATAGTAAAAACAGTAACATTGTGAAATATTGTTACAATTTTAAATAGCATTTTTCAAATTTTCAGCAGCCATTACGCCAGGCTTATCCATTTTAATATGCTGGTTTGGTGCTCAAGAAACATATCTTATTATTATCAATGTTAAAAACAGTTGGGCTGCTTAATATTTTTGTGAAAACTGTGATACATTTTTGGATACTTTGAATAGAAAGTTCAAAAGAACAGCATTTATTTTAAATAGAAATCTTTTGTAACAACAAGTTTTTTCTGTGACTTTTTATAAATTTAATGTGTCCTGGTGAATGCTGAATAAAAAAATCATACTGACTCCAAACTAATAAACAGTAGTGTAAATTAATATAAATTTGTGCATTTTGAATAAATAATATATTTTTAAAAGTGACAATTGCATTTGTGAATAAAGAACTTGTTTTCCTGTTATTTGAAACCACAGATATGCCGTTAAATACAGATTTTTTTAAGGCTGTTACTTTTGAGGCTGTTGTGAGGGATCTTTCCTGGTTGTTTCCTATGGGAGTGATGGATCTGGCTGGGAACAGATAAAGATGCACTCAGCTGATTTCCGCCCAGGGCTGGAAGTGTTCTAAACATCTGTCCAAACTGATCTGGTGAACGCTCCTGCAGAGGAAAAGCAACTCATTTATGATTCCATAATTAACTCATTTATATGACTGTTTAGGTAACATTATATTATATTATATTAAACATTACCACAAAGACTTATTATTCATCTTGAAATACACTGCAACTAGTCCAACTGATAATCGGTTGCACTAATTTTGACCCATCCAGATTTACCCACCCGTTCTCTGCGTCTGACCCGAGCCGAGAGACTGCTGTTCAGGGTGGTCTGACTGTGTGTGTCCCCCAGTAATTCAGTATAGGACTTCTCAAAGTAGTCTTCCGTGACGTCATCCTCCTCTAAGATCAAATCCTCAGACCCTTCGGGCCTAGGTTTTGCCAACACAAGCATGTGACACCCACCACAAGTAACCTGAAAAACACACACACTGTTTGCAGATGCCATGAAATCAAAATAGGAGTTTTGTGGCTTATATTAATCCATATGTCACAACACATCTACATTAACATTAAAAAGTTTGGAGACAGTGCGATTTTTTTTTTTTATGTTTTTGAAATAGGTCTCTTATGTTCACCAAGGCTGCATTTATTTGATAAAAATGCATTAAAAAAATGGTAATACTGTAAAATATTATTACAAATTAAAATAACTATTTTCTATTTTTAAATATATTAAAACGTAATTTATTCCTATGATGGCATTACCGATTTTTCACATAACATTTCTTATTATTATCAGTGTTAAAAACAGTTGTACTGCTTAATATTTTTGCAGAAACTGTTATATATTTTTACAGTATTTTTTGAAGAAAAGAAAGTTCAAAAGAACAGCATTCACTTAAAAACAGAAAGCGTTAGTAACATCATATGACTTTACTGTAATGTTTCATCAATTTAATGTGTCCTTGCTGAATAAAAGTATTCAATTCTTAAAGGGGTCATATGATGTTGCTAAAAAGAACATTATTTTGTGTATTTGGTGTAATGAAATGTGTTTATGCGTTTTAAGGTTCAAAAAACACTGTATGGTTCTCTCCACACTCCACATGCTTAACTCTGCCCCTCCTGAAATGCTCAACCACTCTGGGTAAACGTGACTCAAATATGAAAGTGCCGTGGCCGAGCTGTCCAAACTGACCCAGGCCAAACGAATACACCTCGTGCTCTGCAGTACCAGACATGCATAACATTCATTCTTCTCAATGAGGAAAGACAGTGGAACAAGATAACAAAGCAAAATATGTTCTCCTACCTGTAAACGCCACGGTGTGCCCTCCTCCACAGGATACCTGTACCACCTTATCAGAGATGCCGGTCACCTGTTGAGGCACTTTATGACTGGCCAGCTTCTCTGTGGACAAGCCCAGCTTCCCACTGTCTTTCTCTCCAAATGTGTACAAGGCCCCATCCACTGCAACAAATAAAACAAGCATCACCTAGCAACAAGCCAGCCTTCATAGAAGGTCAAATAATGAACATTTTATGAATTCAATGCTGCCATACTGAGCTGTATGGATCATATATATATTACTATATATATTATAGTTCAATAAAATAAGAGATAACATTTTAAAACTAATTAAACTTACATGAAAATGTTATTATATTATATATTTTTTATTTATATTATATAAATTAATTATAGTATATGATAAATATACTGTTTAAACATACAATTTCAAAATATTTAATTCTATAATTTATCGTATTTAAATAAACTATTCAAGGTTAAATACAACATGTGAATGTTGAGCATAAAGTTAGTGCATTTATTTAGCAATGGCATACATACCAGTAACAAAGGCAGAATGATAATATCCACAGGACACCCAGGACACTCGTTTCCCCACAGAAACCTCCCGAGGATTCAGTGCATTACTCTCTTTCCCCAATCCAATCTGTCCCTCTGAGTTATCGCCCCACATATAGAGCCTGCCATCCTCTGAGATGACAGAGATATTGTTACATTACTGTTAATATTTGCTGTTGCATGTTATGTATGTAATATTAGCACCATATGTTTTGGCAATAGACACTGTTGCTGTAAGTCAGACGGAACAGAACTCTTACGCGTCAGAGCAGCAGAGGTATTGGAACCAGCAGCGAGCATTTTGACTGGTTCATGTTTGCTGAAGAAGTCCACCAGGTGGAAAGAAGTTCTGTCATCACAGTCACCGAGGCCGAGCTGTCCTTCATTATTCCCTCCAGAGGCATACAGGTTACCACGGGCTGCTCGGTGAAGAAAACGTCTATTTTAGTTGAGGATAATGTTGCAAGTAGTTAACTAATATAGCAGTCTAAAAAAAAAGAACAATTTGGTGTCGTAAAAGTTTTTTTGAAAGAAATTAAAAAATTTATTCAGCAAGGATGCATTAAAAATTGAAAGTGACTGTAAAACATTCATAATGTTACAAAAGATTACTATTGCAAATAAATGCCATTGTTTTGAACTTTCTATTCATCAAATCATTGTCAAAAATGTATCGTGGTTTCCACAAAAAAAATAAGCAGCATAAATGTGTTCAACACTGATAATAATAATAATAATAATAATAATAATAAATGTTTCTTTAGCACTAAATCAACATATTAGAATGATTTCTGAAGGATCATGTGACAATGAAGTAACTGAGCTACTGAAAATTCAACATGCCATCGCAGGAATAAATATATTACAATAGAAAACAGTTATTTTATATTGTAATAATATATCACAATATAAATTTTCAAGTAAAAAAATTAAACTTTTAAATGGTAGTGTACATTTAAAACTACTTTTTTGGGCCTGTGAAAATATTGAGATATAATCAAATAAACCAACAAACAGTATGCTCAAATATTTTAAAAATAATTCTAAAAGTACTTTTTTTTTTTCTTTTTAAAAGGTAATGTGTGTAATTTTTTCAATGTTAAAAAAATTCTTAAAACCCTCTTGCAAATTCCCAGAGAGTTTCCCTGTGTTGTCCTGTGGCCCTTTCAAAACACTGCTCTGTTTATTTCAGTGGTTTGCCTTGGTTTGGTGAGTCCATTTATGGCTCAACTAATGGAATAAGTAAATAAATAAGAATATGTAAATAATTAAGACAACAGAGAAGGTAGAAGTAACAAATTACTGTAGAAAACACATTACAACGTTTAAAAATGTACTAGACTCAAAAGCATAAAGCAACTATTCTGTCATGTTTGAATAAACTTACATGTATAAACAAGTGTGTGAGTTCTTCCACAAGCTGCAAGCTTCACCCTCTCTGATTTTAGGGCTTTAAGAAAACAAATATTGTCACAGCATGTCAGAAACATGTTAAATACAATTTAGTCTAGCTAAACATTTATACAACCTGACAAAAAAAATATTTCATCAAACTAATTTGTTAAAATTATGAAAAATTTTACTCTTCTCTGTATTTAAGATTAATGCAGATTATGGACCACTCCAGATTGGGATTAAGACAACCAACAGCTTTGAAAAGATAGCCTTTTCTTACAGCTATTTACCAACATGTAATTTTGTATGTCAACCAATATATTATTGCTGAATGATTCAAAATCACTCATCATTATTATTTGACATATATCATACCCAAACAGCTAAATGTGAGTGACAGCATTGGAAATGTGTTTGTGTAAGTGATTTATCAGCTGTGGATCACAGAAAACACTCTATACTGCTCTCTCTTTGACTGACAGTCTGTCCGGCATAGAGTCGTACCTTTCACACAAGTGGGTTTATTCACAGTGGTCTTTGTTCCGAGGCCCAGCTGTCCCCAGTTATTGCTGCCAAACATAAACAGCTTCCCATTTTCTGAACACAATAGGAATAGCGACAGGATGAATGCTCAAAATGATGAAATAAGACTGTATTTACCAATATCCACCACTAAAATCATAAATCATACCTGTCACCAGTGCTGTGTGCTCATCTCCACAGGAAATTCTCAAAGGTACATCATTTTTTAACCAGAATTTACTGGGGGCATTATCTGCGAATTTACTCTTTCCAAAAGTGAAGACCGCTCCGGATTCTAAAACAAAAATGGAACAATATAAAAATGCAGACAGACAGATTTAATCTCGTCATTTATACACATTTGGCGACAGGTAGCCACAGGCGTCAATGAAAGAGCGAGACAGTGCTCAATGAATAAAAACAAAACACAAGCAGCAATTTACACTTATAAACCCTGATAAATATAGTATTCGCAGGGCATAAAAGCAGTTAAGACATGTTTAACGTTAAATCAGTATTACATATGATTCGCCTTCACTGTGTAGCACCGTTATATAGCTTGTAGGCTAATCATAAACAGCCATTAGAGTTAAAGAAACACACGTGTCGCAACTAAAAAGCACAGAACAGTTTACACTGATCACTAATGCACCACATAATATTTACCAGGGATCTCATCATCTGTCTCTCCGGCCATCTCCCCCGACTAATCAGCTTATTTGAGCAGGCAGGGCTCTAGGAAGTGTGACCAAGAAGTTTGTAATATGACAGAAACCTTCCGCTTTACATGTTCTTCCGCCTTGAAGTGTCACGTGCTGCTCATGAGCTTCTCCAACTGGTTACTTGAATTTGCCAAACGTTAGACGATAATTAATTGATTCATGTGTGAAGTTTATTCGTATATATAATATCTATCAACAGCACAATTTTCTGTATCTGTATATTTTATATAATTAAAAATGTATAATAATAATAATTATAATAATAATTATAATAGTAATAATAATAAGTAGTAGTCATTCAAAAAGATAAAATAAATCTAATTTTACGCAACACCATAATTTGCAAGACATTACACTAAATACAAACAAAATTTAAAAAAATGGTTCGAAACGTTGTATTAATAAATTCCTTGGGAGCAGTCTTATCAATGTGAGGACAATTTTTTGTTTTGTTTGTATTCATCTTATTTTTGTCCTGCACCCAGTACCGCCGCTCCCTATACACAGAGTACGCAGTTTGCGTAGGGCACCAACTCACAGGGGGGCACCATCCCGTGCATCACTTTTAGGTACGTTCATAATCCTGTGAAACTTTTTTGGATGTTG